GCAAAATAAATGAGAAATATGTAGGAAATAATGAGAAGTTCAAAAACTTTCCCAGATTACCTATTTTGTTGTTTCAAAAATATTTTATTAGATATGCTGATTTTTTTTATTGATACTAGTTTATAATAGTTTATCTTAGTTTACTGTAAAGAAAGTCTTGTTTTATCTATTTCTTTATAAGAATATTTTTGGTCTATGTCTTGTACTCTGAGTAACTACACTGAAGACAATGATACATAGTGTAAAACTATTATTATTCTCATTATTTTGTCTTTTGTATAAGATAATTAAAATAAGCTAAATTATTGAAAAATAGCAAAACATGCTATAAAATAATGAGAAAGTGTAATGATAGTATGATATCAATGGTTGGGGTTAGCACAAATTATGAGACATTCCATGGGATTTTTTTAGTTAAACTTATACATACTGGATTGAAAACATTGTGTGTTTATTTCATTTTGTTTTCAAGTAGACCAGAGTTAAGTTTATTATTTTGAAAAAGAATTGAAGATACTTACTGAGTCAATAAAAGAGATATGAGACACACTGTCTGAATGGTTCTATAAATTTTTCATTTAAATCCATAGTACCAAATCCATAGGACCAAGATTGATAGCAGTATTCATTCTGTGCCTGTAAAACCACAGTCAGATCCTATCGCATCACAGTTATGATCAGAGCTATAGTTTACTGGAGTATTGCTGCGGTATCACATTGTGGCATTAGTGGAAAGTTTAGTGGAGGGGCTAACAACTATTGCTCTAAATTGAAAAACTCCTACTTTTAATGTTTGAAAAAGCACTATTCAAGTAGAAAGTGGGAGAAAACTTTCATCTCCTATTTTAGATTGATTTTCATTTGAAATTTCCCAAATATATTGTTTATTGTGGACAGACATTTTCATAGATCAGAGTTTGAATTTATATCAGGATTCTCACATTTAAATCAAGTATCTGTAGTGAGAAAGTCTTAGTCCCGTTAGACCTTGCTTTTCACTTAGATTTTGTAGAGAACCTGTAATTCCTTCATTTGGGAAGTTCCTGTCACATTGCTCAGGTATTGATTCTTATTCAATTATGCATTGCATAATGAAGAATTATATATACCTTGATGTGTGAGTGTAGATTTGTGGATGGGAAAGTTAATGACATTATAAAATGAATAATTATCTCCTCTGTTTAAAATAGTTTTAATCCAAGCACATCTCTCCTAGACATTCATATCAAATAATTACTTATATTGCCCTGTCTATTCATACATTCATAAGGCCTTTGTGGCATAAATCAACATAATTATGTATCTTCGTTCACAGTAGCATTTTTGACAAATTTATGGGTTGATGAATTTATTCTAATTATATAATTCACCATTTATCCATACATTATTTTCCTTAACAATATATTGGTGGGTTTTCTAGCAACAGAAGAAGCTTATAGGCTAAATCTACACATGACTTTATCAATTTTCATGTTGCACTAGCACAAAAATTTCTGTACCAATTCAGGAGTTTAAATTGGACATACATAATAAAAAAAGGAGATCTGAAATAGAAATCTGAAATAGACGATCTGATCTGAACTGGTAAAAGAGGAACGTATTTTCAGAGAAACTGAGTAAAAAATGAGTCTTTAAAAGCTACTCCCTACTATTATCTTCTACTTTCTTTCATTTATCACAGGAAATCAGAACTCCATTTCTCAGAGCCTTTTCTCTTCTTTTAAGATAAACTCCTCCACTGAGAAGCTTTTGCCAAAATTAAACAATACTGGTAAGAGAGGAGAAATTTGTATTATCAGATATCAGCAGTAGGACTAGAGATGATCTTTCAAATGTGTGACCCTTTACAGGAAAAACTGGGTCCTCTCTTGCGGATCACGTGTGCTTCTTGCAGCTTCCTGACTGCCTGAAATATCAGACTAATTCTTACCAATAGGGGAAACATTTCTTCACTTTTCCTCTCCAGATTTTCATGTGCTTAAACTATTTTATTTAATTGAGTCTTTTCTTTCCTTCATTACCCAGAATGTTTCCTGATTTCTTCCAATTTCTGTCTGATATACATAATAATAACTTCAAATGCACAAAATATTAGTATGAAGATGAAATTTATAAAATTGGGTGCAAATTAATGCCTGAATTTTAATTATGGTACAAAACAAATTTATTTCATTTGTTTAAAAATGGTATGGCCTCTTAAAAGCAATTAAATAGCTACCAGCAAAATACTTACATATTGAGACAAAATAACTATATTTTGAGATAAGCAGAAAGATAGGATTTGTCACTACCAGGTATGCACAGAAGAGTAATTTTTTTTTTTTTTTTTTTTTTTTTTTTTTTTTTT